AGGGAGGAGGAGCAGGAGGGAGGACCTGGCGAGGCCGACTCCTCGGATCGGACACGCCAGCGCTCCTCCACCGCCGCGGCACTGCTCCAGGCCCCGGCTGCGGCGGGCTCCGCCGCCTGCTCGGCGGACTGCGCCTCTGTGCTGGCCCCTCCCTGGGACGGGGCCAGGACGAGGGCAAGCTCGGGGGAGGATGAACCTGTGGGACAAAAAAACACACTGTGGGAAGAAAAAACACACTGTGGGAAAAAAAACACACAACAAAAAACACAAACACACACACACACACACACACACACACACACACGCACACACGCACACACACACACACAAAAAAAAACACACAAAAAAAAACACTGTCCAGAGACTCAGAGATTCTCGAGTTCTCCTCGTCCTCGTCTTGGCCCCGTCCAGAGATGATCGATTTCTCCTCGTCCTTGTCTTGGCCCCGTCCTGGTCTGGAGACCCTCCGGGTCCAGCCTAGCACCTGGAGGGTCTGAATGCTAAGACGGCGCCAAGACGAGGGCAAAATCGGGTGAGGATACATCGGGATTCTCTGAGATCCGGCGGCTCTGGAGGATGTCTCGGGCGCCGCGGCCTTCTCAGAGCGTTCCAGAACGCTCTGAGAGCGTTTCGGAACGCTCTGGCACGGATTTATCCTCGTCCTAGCCCCGTCCGACTCCCGCCGCGGAGGGGCCCGGAAGCAGCCGGCTGGCCGAAAAAAACGATCCGCCACGTGGGCGATGAAAAGAAACGGGGCTTACGCGAGATGGCGTAGCGACCTTACGCGGCGGCCTACGCGGGGAGGGTGCCATGCAACGAAGCCTATGGGTGAAGGCCAGAGCGGGGGGCGATGACGCCATCTGCAGGGAAGGTCTTGGAATGAAGCCCTCTGGGATCAAGCTCAGGGAGAGGTGAGGGTGAAACACGACTACCTACCAGACCACCCCAACCCAACCAGAAAACACGAATCTCGGGTGGGGACAGGGTACGGGTTCCATATGTGTATTCTCAATGTTCCCAGACCCCCCCCCTCTGGAAATTGAGGGCAATCGGGGCCTTCGGGTTGGGTTGGGGTGGGTTGGTGGGTGGTGAAAACAGAGCCCTCCACAACCATCGCTCGGACGCCCGTGCACCTCTGGCTTTGCGCGTGCCTGATGTCTCCTCGCTCGAGGACCCCAGATGCTCCTCGATGGTCCTCGCCGAGAGAGGGGTGCACACACCCGAGCGATGCCAGGCCTCTGGAGTGAGGCTCCTGGCAGGTCACGGCAGCGAGTTGAACAGGGACCGACCGTCCCGGAATTCCTATAGTCATACCACGACATGTTCTTAGAACCCAAATCTGGTTTAAGAACAAAAACAATGTACTTAGAACATAGACCCGATGCGTTCAAACAAGACAGACTCCGCCAGAAATGTTCTAAGAACATCTCGTGGGAACCACAATAGGTTCCTAGAACATTGTTTGGTAGGGCTATAGGCACGCCAGGACGCTTCGCCACTGCTTGAGCGAAAGGCCCACCGGGGCGCCGGCGCCGAGGGGGGAGCTGTGCGGGGAGGCCCCGGACGGGCGGGCGCGAGCCACGAGCGCAGGCGCAGCCCGATCGGAGCTCGCCGTGGGCCGGCCGAGCGACGATCAGAGACAGCTCTTGCGAGAGACGACGTGGCGACCTCACGCGGCGGCTTGCGCGGGCCGCCAGCGCGGCACGCCGCGCTGGAGACGGGGGCGCTCACGCGCGACCTCACGCGGGCAGCTGACGCGCCGACGTCGGCGCAGACGGCCCCGCTCTTTCGTGTGTGCCCCCCTGGAGGGACAGGACACAAGGACTGACCAAGACTGGCCGCGGAAGCGTCGGTGCCGATCTTGATCATCGTCCACCTCGGTCATCGGCAATTCGCGGGTCATCCTCGCGAGTCCTCGCGAATCCGCGCCGCCCTCCACCACTGAGTATCGTTCAGCCGATCCCCATCCCCAGCGGCGTGGCCTGGGCCCCTCTGGCCGATTTACCCCCCTACATGGAGATGCAGGCCATTCCCTTCGGGCTTCGAGGGGTGTATCCCCAACTGGGGTGGTAATGTGGTGGGGGTCTCGAAGGGGATGGGGATGGGGATGGGGATCGGTTAAACGATACCGACGCAAATGGCCTGGATCCGCCGCGGGGGATTTACGATCAAATTACGCAGAAGGAGACATGCTTTGTCCGGACGTTTGCGAGCAGGCACTGTGCGAGCAGCGGAACGCGCTCGGCGACCATCGTCGCCAACCGGCGCGGGGGGGACTCCATGGCAGGCGGGCCGCTGGGGCCCAGCGCAGCTGCCCCAGGGGAAGGCGGCGAGGCTGCCCCCCCCCAACACCAGAGTCGCAGGCCTAGAGATTGACGCCAACACCAGTTTCGGCGGTGTGCCTCCACCGAGGGAAGAAGATCCCGATCTCGGCGAGGGTGGTAATACTCTGGCTTCCAAGGTGGCCGAACTATTACAGACGGGGCGTTGACCTAAGTAACCCCAAATAACAAACGAGGCCCCTTTTTTCCACAAGTTAAACTTCGATTTCCCATTGAAAGCCTAGGGAAAACCGAAGGCAACCTGCGAAACAGCTCAGAAACACGGAGCCCCTCCCCAACGCAAAGGATTCCTTCCTTAGCGCCCCGACTGTTACCACCAACACCGAAAATCTAGGATCACCCTCCCCCTGGGGAGGCAGCCCCCTGTCCTGGTGCTGGTGCCACTTTCCAGGCCTCCGACAGTCGGCGGTGGACGAACCTCCCTCTAGTAGACCTCCCCTTAGTGAAAACGGCCTGGGACCGAAACCGACGGACCTGGACCCGCAAAAATGACGGCCGCGACGCCCTCTCGCGAACCGAAAACGGCCCATTCCTTAATCGACGTGTCAGGGCAGGAGGTCTGCCCACCCCCGAGACAGCGGCGCCCGCGCCCCCCCCCCGCCTCCGCGGGCGGCCCGCCCGGCGGCAGCGGGCGGGCGGCCTGCCCATCGGCAGCCGCCGGCTCGTCCCCGCGGCGCCTGGCGCGCGCGCGCGCTCGCGCTGCGGTGGCCTGGAATCGCCCGCAGGAGTCGGGCTGGGCGAAAGGGGGGGATAGCCAAGGGGGGGGGGTTCAGAATGGACTCACGTAGCTGATTTTCCCGGCGCCTCCCGGCGCCGGGAGACGGCCACGTATCGAGGAATGGGCCCCTGGGTGGATTTCGTAACCCCCCCTTGTCCCTATCCCCCCCTTTCGTCCGGCCCGAAAGAGGAAGGCCGCCCTGCTGCCCTGGAAGCTAAAGTGCACCCTCAGCGGTTAGCGTCTGGATGTACAACTCAACATGCGGTCTCTGCGTGTCCGCCTGCTGGTGCAGCGTGCAGTGCGCCAACGCGCGCGCGCGCTCGCGCCGCGGATCGGTGGGGGGGGGCGTGGAGTGGGCCACGGCTGGGGCTGGAGGAGAATCGCTCTGGACGGCCCCGAGGCTGGCCTGGGGAGACGTCGGCCTCGAGCTGGGCCCGCCGCCTGTCCCCCTCCCCCTCCCCTCCCCCTCCTCCCCTCCCTCCCCTCCCTCCCCTCCCCCTCCCTCCCCCTTCCCTCCCCCCTCCCCTACCCTCCCCTCCCCTCCCCCACCCCCCCCCGGTTGGCGGCGCGCGCAGGCGGGGCAGGGGGAGGAGGGGAGGCTCACATTGGGAGCCCCAAGACGGTGTGGTGACAGGCCCGGCGGTGACCTCGAGATCCGCAAAGACCTCACCGCAGGGTCTGCCACCACACGGTTTTGGGACCCTGGGGGCCCCAGTCGCCAGAGGCATCCTCGGAGAACGACCCAAGTCCCAAAACCGTGCGGTGAATCCCCACCGACTCACCACACGGTGTGGTCACCACCCCGTTTGGGGGCCCCGGATCATAGGAGGAGGCTGCTCCTTAGGCCCGCGCCTTCTAGGAAGCGGGGGTGCTTCGAAGAAGCCCCTTCCACCCCTCCCCCTCGACTACACGCAAGAGTGACCTTGGGCAAGAGTGACCTTTGGTGCGCGGCTTTTTGGGGGGCCGCGGGGGACCGAACACAAGCGCGCAAGACGCAACTATCGCACCGCATCCGGCGATCGGGGGACCCCAATGGGCCCGCACCAAAGGTCACTCCAGCGAAAGGTCCCTCTTACGTGTAGTCAACCCCCTGCCGCCCCTGTGCGCGCCGGCAACTCTAAGCACCCCCGGCCTGCGGGGGGCCGAGCTGCGACAAGTGGGCGAGGCCGCGCCAGTGGCTCCTCCTGGGAGCGGGTGGGGGAGTCTGGGGCTCCTAGATGGGGGTCGGAGTAGATGGGGTCGGAGGATCGCGCCACATCGCCGATGCACCGCCGATGCGGCTCGATGTGGAGCCCGATTTGCTTCACGTCGACGTCACCGATGCATCGCCGACCTCGACGATGCATCGCCGGTGCATCGCCGATACATCGCCGATGCATCGCCGATGTCGGGATGCGGCGCGATCCTCCGGACCCCATCCACTCCGACCCCATCTGGGAGGCCTCTGGGGAGGGAGGGCGGCCGGGCCGGGCCGGGGGCGGAGGCCTCGGCGCAGGGCGGCCCTCCACCTCTCGAGCGTGCATCGGTTACCAGCCTTATATCCCTATCCCTAAGATTGACATGCCAAAAAGCGATGACAATCTTAGGGATGCGCCCTCAAAAAATAAGGGAATCCCTAAGATTGGCATCGTGATGAGGAGATGCCCAGCATAGGGATAGGGATATGTTCCAGGCTGGTAAATCGGGCCAGTGGCGCCTCGACCCGTGGCGTGAGCGAGGCGCCCCGATGCTCCCGCGAGGAGCCCGCGCGGGTCCTGCAGCCCACACCGCCGGCCGGAGCCCCTCGGCCGCGCGCTCTGTTCTCTCTGCCCGCGCTCCAGCGCCCTCGGCCCCGCGGCCGCCCTCCTCTGCCGCCCGCCCGCCGGTGCACGCTCCGCCCTGCCTGGGCAAGCGCGTTCCACTACTCGCAGAGCAGCCACCCGCAAATGGCCTGGATCCGCCGCAGGGGACTCTCGGTGTGCTTCACACAGAGGTAGACGTCATGGCTTTCCGGCCGTTTGCGGGCAGGCGCGCTGCGAGCAGTGCAACGCGCTCGGCGACTGCAGCGGTCCGACGTACGCAGGCTTCGGCCGCGCCGTGCGACCGCCGACGCTGCGACTGGCAAGCTCGAGTGGCCTCCTGCCAGCCGCTGGCTCGCGCGACGTCGGTCGGCGGGCGGGGGGCGCCCCGCTCTGCGGCCGCCCCGCGGGCCCGCGGGGCCGCGGAGGGCCCCCCGCCGCTGTCTGGACAAGCGCGTTCCACTGCTCGCAGAGTGACCACTCGCCAATGGCCCGAATCCGCCGCGGGGCATCTGCGATCCATTACGTCGAGGCAACAGCCTGCTTCTCGGGCGTTCTGCGAGGAGTGGGCACTCTCTGCGAGCAGTGGGACGCGCCCGGTGACAACCTTCGCTGGCCGAGTCCGGGCAGCTCCTGCCCGAGTACGGCCAGCTCTGGGCGGATCAGGCGCAGGCGGCACGGAAAGCACAGCAGTCGGGAGCGGCCAAGAGGGGGGTGTCCAAGAGGGGGGGGGGGGGGGCAAATCATGACTGGCGGCATGTGCGCGGCCCAGCGGGGGGGCCAGGGACGTAATGAAATAAGAAGAGGCGCCATGAAATCTGGGGGGCCCCGAAGCAGGGGGGAGCGAAGAGGGGGCCGGGAGGACACCGCAGTGTTCCGCGGGGTGCTCGGGTCGTGAGCCAGGCTTCTCAAGAGCCCAAGGGCCGGCGCTGACACGCACATCGCCTGTTACAGCAACAGCGTGCACCCATCGTCACCACGGGCGAGAAAGGGGGGAGGGAGGACACCGATGCCGGCGAAGGATCGAAGCGGGCACTCAGGGTCGGGGATGGATAGAACCTCCTTCAGTAAAACGTGGTTTGCTGAAAACGACCTCGGGCCCGAACCTGGCCTGCGCAAGCCTAGAAAATGACGGCCGCGGCGCCCTCTAGAGAACCGAAAACGAACAATTCACTAATCGACGTGTCAGGGTGGGGGTTATGTCCACCCCTGGCAGGAGGAGACTTCCCCCTCGCCCTGGACGCCGCCCACGTGCTGACCCCCCTCGTTGCCACCTCGAGGCCCCTCCATGTTCAAGCAGAGTCTGCGCGCTTCCCCCCCACGGTCTGCCCAGCCGCCTGGAGGACGGTAGACCCAGTAGCTGCCAAACACAGATCCTCCCCCGCACCCCACAAAAGCTATCGAACCCCGCGGGCCCACGCATGGTGCGATTGATGTGCACTGCCTGGGCAAGATGTGCTTGGTCGCCCCTCGGGCCCAAGAAGACGACAAACGACGACGACGACGACGAGAATGGAGGGGTCAAACCATCACTGGCTTCCCCCTCGCTTGCTGGTGTCGGGGGGTGCATCTGCTCCGACCGCTCCCGCTTCAGCGGCTCGGAGCATCCGGTGGCCCCGGACCGCTGCACTGCAGAAGACGTGAGACGCGGGAGCAAGGTCCACGACGCAGCGGCGGGCGTCTCCAAAAAGCCTCCAGAAAATCGAGACGCAGGTTCTCCATCCTTCCCGGCCTCTCGGGGCCCTCACTGCGCCTCGGCACCGTCAGAAAAGGCCTCGGGATGGAGAACCGGTCCCTGGGAAGTGGTCGGGAGAAGTCGGGAGCACGCTGCGCCGACTTCCGGCTGGGGGCTCCTCCCCCGCCCCCGGAGCCCCCGCGCCCCACCTCTTCCTGATGCCGATGCTGGTCCGCCACCTGGCTCGTCGTCCTGGTCCTCTCTATATATCCCCCCTCTGGCCTTCCCTCTCTCCCTCCTCCCGCTGCCCGATCCTCCCATGGATCCATCGCCCTCAGCGCTGGGGGAGAGAAGCAAGCAGGCGTTTCGCTGGGAGCGCCTTCGTGCCTTCGCGGCAACCTCGGGCGCGGTAGGGGCAGAAGCACAAAGAAGAGGCGGGCATCGGGCAGGAAGGGAGTAAAGAACGAGAGCACAGGAGATTCGCAGGGCAGCGCGAGAGACAGGACCTCGCCAGGCGGCGTGCCAGACTGCCAGACCCACACCAGACGCCTGCAAGACTGCGGCCCGCGGACCCCCCAGGGGCTCAAGATGTGGCGGCAAATTTTGGGGATCTGCGGACCCGGGTCAATCCAGACCCGGGTCAGTCAGACCCGGCAAGATCCTGCAGGCTCCTGCAGGATCCTGCACCCAAACCTGGGTCGATGCAGCCCTGGCTCCGCAGGGTCCTGCAAGGAATCCAGCGCCCTGGCTGACCCCCGTTTGCATTGACCCCCGTCTCTGGAGCCCCGAAAGTCTACGTTTCGGTCGGGCATGTCCCCCTACAGATGAATATTGGAAAAAAATCAAAAAGAGCCCAAGAGCATTCAAAAATAGTCAAACCTAGAGAAAAAACTATCGTCCCCTGACTATTTTCGGCGGTGGACAAATCTCCCTTCAGTAAACCTCCCCTTAGTGAAAACCGCCTGGGACCGAAACCGACGGACCTGGACCTTCAAAAACGACGGCCGCGACGCCATCTCGCGAACCGAACACGGCCAATTCCTCGATCGACGTGTCAGGGCAGGAGGTCTACACACCTCCGGAATTGTTCGTTACTATCCTCGAAGCCTCCTCCTGCAGCGGGACGCGCCCGACTCGAGCCCAAGCTCGGGAGCACCCCGGAAGGCCGAGGGCCCGTACCGAGGCCGCCAAGCGCCGGGCGCTGGCCCGCTCCGGCCGCACACCCGGTGACGGCGGACCCACACCTGGGGCCCAGGGACGCACAAAGGAATACACACACACACAAAAAAAAAAAAGGATTCCCCATATTTCCCAATGTTTTCTCTGTTTTCGTCTGCCCTCCCATTGTCCCATAGTTTCCCAGGTTTTCCTGGGAGTCGACGAGGAGTTGTGTCTGTGTGTTCTTTCCCCTCCTGACACACCCAGGGCCAGGGCGGCCCGGGGAGAAGCGGACGGCACTCCGGAGAGAAGGCCGCAGGGGCAGCGAGGAGAGAGAGGGGGAGCCCAGGCATGCTCGCGTCGC